ATTTTCTTGCACGCGGATTTCAGTCTGCTCTCAGGCTCTTCTTTTTCTTATTGTGAAAGAAGCGGCATATGATAGGGCGGTTCGTTATGCTTTTTCTTTCTTTTGAGCGTTTTCCTTTTCTGTTTTTGCAGGCGAAGCCGCAACGGGTCATCTAGTACATATCTATGACTTCAATTTGCATCGGAGAGTATGGGCTGCATCGTAATCCAGCGCGGAGTCTCATGGTCAGACCTCACATAGAGGAATCTGCCAAGGAGGTAGTGCCTCCAGTGAGTCAGCGCCTTATGAAGGGCATAGAGCTCTCGCTCATATGTGGACTTAGCTAGCTTTTGAGAAGGCATCTTTTTGCTCCTGTACTCGATAGGCCTCAACATTTTCCCCTCCTTTCGCGCCAGAACCGCGCCAATGCCATATTGGTTTTCGTCTGTGGTCACAATGAAAGGCAGCTCAGGATCTGGAAGAGAAGAGATAGAAGAGAAGAGATAGAAGAGAAGAGATAAAAGAGAAGAGAAGAGAAGAGAAGAGATAAAGAGGAGAAGAGATGAGATGAGAACAGATGAGAATAGAAGAGATGAGAAGAGAAGAGAAGGGAGAGAAGCAAAGAGAAAAGAGAAGAGAAGAGAGAGAAGAGAGAGAAGAGAGAAGAGAAGAGAGGAGAAGAAAGAGAAGAGAGGAGGAGAGAAGAGAAGAGAAGAGAAGAGAAGAGAAGAGAAGACATAGGAGAGAAGAGACACAAGAGAAGAGAAGAGAAGAGATAGAAGAGAGAGAAGAGAAGAGAAGTGAAGAGAAGAGAAGAGAAGTGAAGAGAAGAGAAGTGAAGAGAAGAGAAGAGAAGAGAAGAGAGGAGAAGAGAAGAGAAGAGATAGATGAGCATAGAAGAGAAGAGGTAGATGAGAAGAGAAGAGAGGAAGTAGATGAGAAGAGAGGAGATAGAAGAGAAGATGAGGGAGTGTGAACGAGGGATAGTGAACGTCATCATGGAAGCACTAAGCGAGATCTACCAGCACCGAGGAATGACTCTAGCGATCACGAAAGAGGAGGTGGAGACATGTGTACGCGAACGATCGAAGAGGGAGAGAGAGGGGGATGAGTTGGAGGTTAGATTATAGGTACGTAAACTGGCAGAGCTCGTCTGGGTACCTTTGGATTGCAACCCGGGCGAAACACTTGTGGTGTGTCCCGCGATCTATGTGCTCGCAATACGCGACATGTTTTGGCACGGGAGGAGTTTTTCGATACAAAAACTCGAGAATGAAGGTATGTAAAGCGGAATATGAGGAACAGGGCCTGACGTGGTTGGGCGCATGGGGGAAGAAGGGAATGCTGGTATGCGCTTACATACTGCCAAAAGACAAAGATGAGACTCCTTGGAGGCCTATTGCCCCGTCATGGCAATCTCCCACGAGGGAGGCTGCGAGAAAAGTGGCGAAAGACTTGGCTGCCATGCTGAAGGCAATCAGTCAAAGATCACACCTCAATGTGGGCTCAGCGGAACAAGCGATGCAACGGCTTAGCATGCGCAAACGAACTGGGTGCAGAATAGGGGGCTAGAGCTGCCTCCTACAGCGTGAAGGAGATGTTCACTAGTCTGAGTGGTCTCCCTCATAAGGAAATCAAAGAAGCACTGCATTGATTGGTAGAACTGAATGAGAAGAGAGGGTATAAGCAGGTAAATGTGTCATGTAGGGGGAAGGGAGCACGTACGGGGAAAGGGAACGTTGAGGGCTGCTCGGGCATCTCCTTTAAACTGATCGTATTATGGGTGTGGTACGAGCTTGAGCACGCCTACGGCATGGCACAGGGCATCATGATCAAGCAAACAACGGGCATTGGGAGGGAATACTAGCCCGGTGCTGGATTGCATCCTCGGGGCAGTTTACAAATCAAAGTTCCTGTGCAACCTAGGCTCAGATAGAAAGCTCATCTATAGAGCGAGGCTCATGGATGACGTTACTATATTGTTGGTCTTCAAGAAAGGCCAGGACGAGGAACTACACAATGCGAACCGAGGAATCAGCGAGTTCGGTCGTGCGTTCGGTAACCAGATCGTTATGGAAAGAACAGATGCCAGGCACAATGTTCTTGATTTCGTTGGGTGTAAGTTATGGATTACATAGGATGCGATGCACGTGCACAACGCACTAAAAGCGAAGAATCATGACAGCCGCAGAGGAGGGAGGCTGCAATTCCAATTTATGTAAGACTACGAGTTGTACAGTGTCAGGAGGACGAAGATGGCAAGCATCCAAGGTGCTCTTCATCAGATCGATGCTTGTTGCTCTGCGAATGACTGGATGAGAGATACCGCAGTGATTGATTTGTGGAAGGAACTCAGGAAACAGAGTTTCCCTGATGAAATATTTTTGGCAGCAGTTCGGAATCTCGTGACAAAAAAAGAGGGTAGGAGGAAATGGAAATGGACGGTGTTGTTCGAGACATTGTATCACACCTACCTTCCCGTCGATGAGAAGGGAAGGTAGAAGAGGTACGGTGGGGCTCGTGACGATGTTGAATAGAGGGAACGGGATGCGTTGTGGTAGGAGATTCGATCCTTGGATCGAAGGCAAGAAACCAGGCCCAAGAATTCACGTCTTTCCAGTTTTTCCTTTTTCGATCTCTTTACCCTTTTAATTATTTTTGTGTTAATAATTGAGATTTAGGGAGGCATGCTATCGTTTCATGTATCGAGGGTGAGGACCATATATATACAAGGACTGGATCCAGGGACCTAGGCATTAGGGAGGTGGTCCGAAGCCGAGCGGGATTGTTTCTTTGCTTGTTGGTTTCTTTTTGTCCTGCTTGGAACTGGATAAATCTTAGTTGTTGTGAAAATTGATTCCAGCTGGGACGGATGCATCTAGACTAAATCATGGATATGTTAATAAAACGAAGTAGAGCGGTAATACTGCCTCAAAAAAAAAATAGGAAAAGTACTGGTGCGGCTGCGGCCCTAGCCGTGGGCTGAGACTATGCTGACACACACGTTATGAGCGGAACTATAGCGGAGAAGCAGAAACTGAGAGGTAGACAAGTATCTACTTCCGAAAGTAGGAGTAAGGGCTGCAATGCCCGCCAATTGACGAGGTCCTGAGTGCAGAGGGATCAGTAGCAACAAACTAATATAATCTCGCTGTATCTCTACAGTCGGTCTTTTTCAGTGAGCTGGGTTTGAGGAACGCAGGAATCCCCCTAATGAGGATGGTGTGGGGGCTATCGAAACGAAGCGTAGGGGTAGCCGTTGGAGGAAAGAAGGATGGGCGTTAAAGACTTTGGATATGCTTGAAGGAAAGAACTGTTTCTTGAGAAGGTTTGTCTCTTTGCCATTTTGTGTATCTGTTGTGGTCATGCAAGTGTTCACGAGTGAATGAGAGGAAGAGTGCTCAAGGAATGACTGTCTAATCTGTGAATGCGTATGCAAAAAAATTGCGAGCAAACAAGGTTTGTATGCATTCATGCTTCGAGGTTTCTCCAGACAAAAGAAGAGAAGAGGAGATAGATGAGAGGAGACAGAGGAGATGCGATGAGATAAACGAGACGAGATGAGACAAGACGAGACAGAGGAGATGAGATGAGATAGACGATACGAGACGAGACGAGACGAGACGAGACGAGACAGAGGATATGAGACGAGACAACGAGACGAGACGGGACGAGACGAGACGAGACGAGATAGAGGAGATGAGACGAGACGAGACGAGACGAGATGAGACGAGACGAGACGAGACAAGACGAGGCGAGACGAGACGAGACGAGACGAGACGAGTAAGATGAGATGGAGTAAGATGGAATGGAGGAGTAAGATGAGATGGAGAGGAGACGAGACAAGATGATATGAGATATGATTTGCTGAGATGAGATGAGATGAGTATGATTGGATGAGAGATGAGATGGAGGAGTATCAAGGAGTAAGATGAGATGGAGGAGTATGGAGGAGTGCGAGACGAGACGAGACGAGACGAGACCGAGATGAGTAAGATGAGATGGAGTAGGATGGAATGGAGGAGTNATGAGATGGAGGAGTATGGAGGAGTGCGAGACGAGACGAGACGAGACGAGACCGAGATGAGTAAGATGAGATGGAGTAGGATGGAATGGAGGAGTAAGATGAGATGGAGAGGAGACGAGACAAGATGATATGAGATATGATTTGCTGAGATAAAAGGGCCTTTATGAATCAGACCCCAAATGGGTGCCCCAACAGCAAGGGGCCCTGTCGGCCAGAACTTAAATTCACGAGCAGCAACTCAAAAGACAAAGTTCCTGAGGAAGATGTCGCATCCATAATGAAGTGAAAAGTTATTTTGAAAGKTCACAAACAGGTCCTGAATGAACAGGTATTGGACACAATTTTCAAGACTGAGTTAGGGTCATGTCTCCTCGATGAAAAGACATGTCTGTTCGGCAATGATTCAAAGGCTACAGTCCCAGTCCAGTCATGATCCCACAAGTCAGTCCTGATTCAGACCAGGAGTCCAAAAGACAGCCCCGATGGCCCAAAGCAGCAGCAGACCATGGGAGAAGATACCGGGACACACACTTTGCAACAATCGGTACTGGGCAGGAGTCCCAGGCACATTTGAGGCTGAATGCAGGCCACGTCAGACCAGTCCAGCACTATAAAGGACTGGCCAGCCTCCCATTTGGACAGATGCTCACTTCGCATGAGAGTGTGGAAGTGCCGTGGCACTTGTGCGCTAGATGTGTGTGAGCTGCGCTAGGCTGAAGAGCAGTGCTATGAGAGGAGGAGGAAAGTGCTGGCTAGAGGGAAGGCAGCCATAGCTGCGCCAGCGCCGGTTAGCATGTTAGTAGGGATAGTCAGTAGGAGATACCAGTGAGTAGTATTCAGAGTAGATCCTCGTGTGATAGGGAGTGTGCATGCATGATGAGTGAGGGTAGACCAGGACTATAGACATAGAGGGCGAGAGAGAAGAAGGCAGACGAGAGAGGGGGAAGCGTGAGCTATGGTGGCACTTACCTGTTGAGCGCTGTTGTTGACGTTT